AGGAGACGACACCTGGGTTCGTCATCAAAACCAACTTCTACCGCGGCGTGGAACACTCAAAAAATCATCTCAGTCGACCGCAAAAACACCCCTGCACATACTATTGGATGCGTTCGGAATTCCAGGGCAACAGACGGAAAGTGTGGAACTCGCACCGCCGATTCCTCCTCGCAGATCACAACGCATCCGTCGAACAACCGAAAGAATACAGATCGACCCGAAACTCAAACTGTATGTTCAAACTTAAAGGGGGGATATTATGAGGACCCAACGTCCCTATAATTATTAAAGGCTGAAATTACGGAAGGCTGAAAACTCGATTCACTCAAGTGCACATGTACTCAGAGCAGACAAAACGCACACGTTCAATCAGCCTTCCGTAATTTAAGCCTTTGATAATTATAGGGACGTTGGATCCTCATAGGTAGCATTCTTGACACTGATGAATTGGTCGACATATGCTAGCGGTCAGAACAAATGACCAGGTGGGAATAAATAGTAACACGACGGACTGCCTGGTAGTTCTACATCCCTGTTGCTTCTCGCTCACATCGGACAAGAGACGATCATAAGCGCCTTTGGTTTTACCTTACGACACGGATAGTCAGCAGTGGACATCATCGCACCATTTCCCTGCTAACTTGAAAAGTTGCTTACTCCAGCTCCGTCATTTTCTTTGTGTCATCCGTTTTCTATATCCTACATGTAAGTCGCGTTTGTGTACAGTTTCATTATAGAATGACTAACTACTGACTTGTTGTAATGGGGTATCTTTATTACACATGCCTAGAACGGATGAACCACACCTAACCTAACTTTATTAGGCTTATTTAACTCGATTGTATCTCGCGATGACTTCACATATTGCCCAGTACAATGTTATACTCATCATGACCTATGCTATGCCATTTTTGCTCCCTTCTCAAGTCAAGTCTAGTATGGTGACATACCGTAACGGTGAGCTACGACCTCTTCCTCTTCGTATTATTATTCGGCCGCGATTCACACCACTATGTAAACTCCATGGTATTACTCACCAGACTATGCTATCTACATTCTGCTCCTTGAAATCGATTTGTAGATTACATAACCGTAGCTTGACCAGCTGCTCAATGCTAACTAGCATGACGCTTAGAGAGCCGGTGCATCGCAGAATAATGGTTCAGTCCATCCATGAGCTCATTCGTAATTGACGTGCGCGCGGTGTTTAAAAGCGATTTGTGTGCTTGACATGGATCGATGCTAGGGTGGTAAAATTATTGTGCATGTTTCCAGTTTGATGGATACATTGGAATCAAAAGATTACCATCGTTTGGCAGCTTACAGTACACATAAAGTGTCAAGTTTGACATTTGGAATACTATGCTCAGAGATTGTCCCTCTTGTGACCACATTGGGTTATGCATTCGAAGAGAAATTTCCCTGGAAATTCTATGGCAAGTGAACAATCCCGACAATCAACCGACTAGCGATTATCACGATGTCACCATTCCATGTTCAACTCCGCAAGCTAGTGATGAGAGTGAGCATAGTTATAGTTCCAGTTGTCCCTCTGCCATATTGAATTTACCGGGGCTTATGAAAACACACATACTAAACGGATGGAAGACAGACGCGCAGAGACGCCTACCAGAAGTTGCACTACATCTTTTGGATGAATTAAGTAAAGGGTTGAACCTAACGGGAATGGTACGTCAGTGTGTTAGTATATAACATCGGAAAGGAATCGGCGCAAAGCGATACTCGTTTTATGAACACCGAATGGCTGCACCCAAGACGTACGATATTGATCGTTAGCAAATAGCTTATGGCCACAGTAGAGTACACGTCGGTAGGTACAAACGGTTGAGTACTTGGACATTTGCACAAAAGAATGCGAACGCTGGTTGGAAAGTCGCATGTTTGACAGTGGGCAGCGGGACTTGGTTGATGTCACCTGTCAATACCAAAGGTTGCGCATCAATCGTTCTTTAACTACGTGCATATACCTCGGGCAGCAGATGACCGAACCGGTCGGAGACACAGACAGCCCGAAGTGGACACTGCATCGCATTCGCATGCTTTGTGATCTCTCCCATCAGCTACTCAAACCAGACTGAACATGTAGAGGGCACACTATTTCACTGTGCCAGTAGTTTAGTTATCATTCTACCTAGCAGTTGCTTCACTATTGCTATATCGGGTTCCTTCAAATATGGATGCCCAAGATTTAAGGCTGTCACGTCTAAATGTTGAAGAAAACATCTACAGTTCCTATTGGGTACTTATTGTCATGCATGCGAAATTGGTTGTTAGCTTGACCTCCAAACGAAACCCATACACGTTTGTCGTACCATTGATGATGATGTCTAATGTGTCTCTATCCAGTTTGTGACAAATCACACTTAAGTTTTGATAAATGCATGCGCAAACGTTTTATTCGACACGGATGACACCAATCGATGTATATATGTATACCGAATGAATTCGACGAGGATACTCATACCGCTTTTGTACGGCTAACTTACTGCAGGGAAACGGCACTCGAGCAAACCGAAAATAGCGTTACCAGAACATGAAGAAGGTGAGTTTATGACAAACACATGTTGATTTCAGGTGTTGCAAATCCAAAGCAAATTTGATCGATGCGAACTCCGTGGACTGATCATAAGGGTGGTTGCTCAGGTGCAGAAGGCACTATTGCACGCGGAATAGTAGCATGATGCGTACACTCCCATTAGATTTACTAATCGAGGCCAATAAGGCGGCGTATGTGGTACGTTTGTTTGCGTGCTGAGTAATCTTGCATTTCAGAAGTAGAAGTTGTTTGAGCTCCCCGGTGTGGATGCGTGCCTATCTGTCTATTACCCACTACCTCGTCCACACTGGTTCCAGAACACAGTTGGTCGTCGCTGGAGAGAACGGAGTGCGCCGTCCTCGTGACGGTGCTAGGCTCAAAAAGTGGTTCCATCATGTGTGGAATGGGCTACGGTCCAGCCACCGTCATGTGTACGTTTGATTGCATGATTTCCCAACTAGGCCGGAATGCTTCTGTTCTGCTTGTTGAAGGAGTGTGGGCCGGCTCTGTTGATGAAACGTGGCTCCCATCCACACGCCTCCGGGTCTTATTCTTTCGGGTTTACACTGGATATGGGGTGTATGGTTGGAACTGTGGGTGATGCAGCGCAAGCCACCCATGGTCCCTCTGTAAGCGCAGGCATCCTATCGCTGGCCACAGTGACAGGCAAATCTGAAACCGGATGCCGCCAACCATATTGCAACACATTTCATCTGGAATTCGGTAGACACAAGACACGCCGCGACGGTATGCACCCAGAACTGCTCTCAACCTGGTGCATTATCAGTGATTTATCTTGTCCCCGCCACTACTACCTTTCACACCGAGATCATATACAATTAATTACTTTTTCCGTCAGTGTGTCCCGAACTCGCGTTGTATGGGAGGAATCTCATTTGTAACCATTGTGATAGGACCCGTTTGAATTTGTACCCGTTGTGGGTGAGGGTGGTTAATTCGGTGTGCCAATTGGACAAACATCCAAAAGGGAATTGGATGAGTATGGTCTTTCATGAATGCAAAAGCGGTTAGAAAGCGACTTATTAGCTTTATTACACCCCCATACATGTTTGTCTTAATTTGTCGAATATGCCATGAATATCTTAGGTCTGCCAATATTCAACCAGCAACATAAGAACTCTTTTCTTCCACCATGTACCGTAGCCTCTTCTGGTCAGTGCGATCACAGTTTCCTATCCTTGATTAGATGTACACCGTGACTACACTTTACCTTGGATAGGCGTCACTTCCCTGCTCTCTTTCTCGTGTTCGCTGAGTTGCTGTCGTCACCTCCTACGCATGCATGCCATATGTCAAAACTCCTCCCCTTTCTCGGCCCACTGTCATCGTTCGACAGTTTTGATGAGCACTCTCTTTATTCTTATGTAAAACTTGTTCTGCTGTTGTTATAATCCTCCTGTACAACACTAAGACCTCTCGTCGGTCTTATCGTGCACCATTTCCGCGTCTTATGTGATTTTATCCACTGGTGCAATTCTTTCATCTTCCACCACTACATTGATTTAGGGTGTCAAACACTTCAGTGTGCCCAGAAAGTCAGTAATCGGATGGCTTTGAACAAACCGTCAAACAGTGTGACTAGATCGATCTGATACGCCCATATATACTATCTTATATGATCAGCGTGTACTTCCTCGTTTATCAGATGGCATTCAGCGTTGTCCCACTGGGTTCGACCTCCGATACAGTACGCCACTTAGTTTCTGATTCTATTGACAAACTTGTCTCGGTAGAAATCATGTACATAACTTTTGTTCCGTAGCCAAACACAGCAATCCAGTTCTGCAGCCTGCGGCACGACGCTTGAAATAGACGTAAAGGACTTCTTTTCACAGCCACTGACGGTTAACTAAGTTCATACTTTCGTGGGTCTGATAGGACGACCATTTGTAGACATTTGGCTTAATTCAGTGTCACACGCTAGGCCGACTGAATGATTTACCCATATGGCTCGCTACTGTGCGCCTTCGTGACATCCATTCTTTAAACCCCATTATTTTTTTGAAACTACGATCAATCGGTAGTTCTCCTCGACGGAACGGTTGCTCAGTACTACAGACATCCCACCCGTCATCTTGCCACTTCTAAGCTTGGCAATTAGCACGCATCTCTAGTTTTTTAGCTAGCAACTCAACAGTAGCTCATCTTCAATTTCTACTCTGCAGACGTTTCAGAGTACCTGTTAATCTATGGGTCCGATAGTCGCCTACAATCTCATCAGTCTGATTCACTCTCTGTATCGATATCAGTCCCCTAAAGTTCATATAAGCTACTCGATTTATCTACGGTTCTTGCAGACGTTCACAGTTTAAATCCATCTATGATAGAGTTTCAAGTTACGACGTATCTATTAGGAGCCCGGTCGCTTCATTCGCGATCCACCGGCGCGGTGAGATGCCTCACCATAACATGATTCGCTCACCATTGCGTCTTCCAATTTTTCCTCTTCTTCTGAAGGGTCATAATCTTCCAGATCCTTTTCAAGTTGTCCTTGGAGGTCCAAGCATCGATCCAGCATATCCACTGGTGACAGTTCGATCGCTAGTTCCTTTGAACGAGCACTAGGATGGGGACGGTCGCGTTTCGATGCGATACGCACCATGCACAGTTTGTTATACAAGTGTTCAGTGAACATTCGTATTTGGGTCAACTTCTCTTCCAGTCGGTCTGCTTGCTCTTTCAGCTTGTTTAGGTGTTCTTGTTGTCCCTTCATATTATGCTCTATCTCCTTCTCAGTTGACTCCTGTCTGGAAATGGAGAGCATGATAAAACGAATATCAGAGTGCGCAGCATTGAGCAAGTCACAAATGCTTCCCAGTCTCTTTTATGCATTTTGAAATTTCCTTCGAATCCAATTGTACATGATATTTTCTCAAAAATACTGTTGTAAAGTTGCCCTCTCTCTGCTTTCTGCTACGCCAACCCAGTCGGCGAAGCTGAAAAACAACGAAGCCTGCTAGACCGAAGTATATTAGGCACAGAATATGGTACATTTTATAAGTCTAAATCTATCATCTGTTGTAAGCTCCTGAGCTGACTCAAGCCACTTGCTCTGGACACATTTCAGACCTGCTCGTGGTCCGCAATGGCCAGCTGTTGTCGCGCCGTGGCACGTAGCAACCCGTGTGATGGCGGTCTGGTTTCATCAGTTTCCCGCGTGAATCAGCCGTGCTACCGTCGGTCGGATAGCATCATCATCATCATCAATAGCAGTACATCAGCCATTTGAACTGATGCTTCGCTGCCATACAACCATGATGACCTATGCAACAAAGAATAATAAGTGGGGGACAAGGGGGCTTACCGGAAAACCTTTATGCCCTAAGCAAACATTCAGGGTCAAGGCGCCTACACCTTGTGTACATATAACATACCGCCACAAAACGCTGACTATCGTGCAAAGATAAGGCGGCCCCAGCCATACAGCTTCCTTGCGGCTTCCACTGCCACGCGTCATAATCAGCCATTACCCCACAGATAACAAAGCACCAAACACACTTTAAACAGGCAATCCGATTAGAAGACGGCGACAGACACATCACTGGTATCGGTTGCGAGCCATGTCCTGTAAAGTCTCGAACCAAGCACAAGTCGAGTCATTTGGACTCCAGCCCGGAAGGCGAGACGGACCAACCACGCCCAGTTTGGTCGACAGTGGCTTCATTTCCCGCTGCCAAGTCAACTTCTGTCCACCTCGAGCCTTGTGCCACCATACACCTGGCAGACCAAACTGATCAAAGGCTTGAAGGCACCTCAAATCTTCAGACCGAAGGGGCCAAGTCTCACTCCCATTTAGCAAAACGGGCCCTCACTGTGGCCTTGTAAAAGCAACCTTTCAGACGGAGGGAAACTCCCTTCTGTCGCCAAAGATGCCTCAGGTTCAAGAAGGCAGCTCTGGCCTTTGCAATGCGCGGAATGACTTCAGCTTCTATGCACCCATCGTTGCTGATGCAGCTGCCAAGATAAGTGAAATGATCAACCACCTCGAGTTGCTCATTAGCAAGGGTAAAGGTGTCATAAAGTGGCTCGTGGTCCTGCAGCAACAATTTGCACTTTGAAGTTACGAAGTGCATACCAAATAATGGGATCACTCTGGAGTGGCTATTCAGGGTTGGTTGTGCCGCCGCAACATCGTCGAAAAGCAGTACGATATCGTCCGCATAATCAAGATCAACTAACAGTTCACCAGGCAGCACTTCAACGCCTACATCATGAGATTCCGCAAGGGAATACTCCATGATAGAATGCACGACGAAAGTGAACAAAAATGGGGAAATCGGACAACCCTGACGAACGCCACTTGTGGTCGGAAAGCCATCCTATAGGCCACCGTATATCTTGACGTTGTGTGTAGTGTGCGAATATACAGCACGGAGGATGTTCACATATTTCATGGGAAACCTTTCCGAGCAAGTATTTCGAACAAAATCGATCAATCGACTGACTCGAAGGCATCCTTGAAATCGAGGAACACAGCTAATGTCCGTCTGCGGTGTGCGTGGCGCTACTCTAGCACCTGTCGCAAAGTGAATATATGGTCTATACAGCCACGTTCTGGGAGGAAGCCTGCCTGTTCTTCCCTAATCCGTGCTTCCCGTTCCGCAGTGAGGCGACGAACGAAGATCGATATCATTAATTTTGTCACAACTGACGTTAGGCTAATACCCCTGTGGTTACCACAGTCTGTCCCACCGCCCTTCTTTTATATTGTCAATATGATCGATCCGTTCCAATCAGCAGTGAAACTCGTCCCTCCAGATACGTTCGAATACGGAAGGCAGTGCTTTGCAGAGGACCTCACCTCCATCCTTAAATAGTGCAGGTGGGAGGGGATCCATGCCAGCAGTACGAAAACGATTGAGGGCTCTGATAGCATTTCGGACCTCGGCCTCCGACGGAGGCTCTAAACTAACCGTCCATTGCTCATCCTACATCACCTGGGTAGTAAGAGGTCCGGGAGCAGGGGGCCAGCTGAACTGTCCTTGAAAGTGTTCCGCCCAACGAGCCATACCGCGCTCCTAATTGTGTATCAGTGCACGCTCGCTGTCTCTGATTGTCTCACTGACGTCAACCCATGTCATACAGACATGTCTCGAACTCGTCACGTTCTTAAGCTGCAGTCTGCTAGAGTGCACTACCTTAGTCAGCCATTTCGCCTCCGTTACAGATACTCACTGCCAGCACCGTCTGTTAAGCTGTTTACTGTTGGGGAGTTTCGAAAGTTGCTGAAAGCAATTTGACGCAGATATCCAACTATGATCAAAGTATCAAATAGATGTGAGTTCAGCTACCAGTACTCACCTCGCCGTGAAAACAAAAGGCGACAACGGATAGAAAATGAGAAACTGCACAAAGCTACGCACAAGGACTTTTCAATGCAAATGGATGAGGAAAAGTAGGCTGTACTTTTTGCTTTGGCGATTAGAAGGAGAAATACAGGAGACTGAAGTCAGGGACGCCATCGACGCTAATGTAGCCAACCATGAAATCACCGGCTAACTCGATAACTGCCGACTTGACTTCGGTTGACCGCACGATGATGTTACAAGGTGCAATCTTCTCTGACTACATGCTCAGAGGTTCCCGTCGGTCTTTCGAAAATCGGACTCATTAAAGCAGTCGGCTCAAGTGCAAAAAAAGACAGCAGACCACCAATAATTTGTCACCGATTTTCAGTATTCTGCTCTCAATTTAGGCTGTTTCCGAGGTTCAAGCGAAACTAGTAATCAGCACGTAGTGTTCCTGTCTCTGGTTACTAAAACGCCGGATGCACTGAAGACTTTTATACCTACAAAGTGCAAAGTTTTGTTGCAAGACCAACAAATATTTGAAAATCCTTTGACTGTTGAAGGCGATGAACTAGAATTAGTTGATCGATCCACCTATTCTGGCAGCGGTGGATGTGTGGCCGCTGAGGCTGTTCATTTTTTGAAGGCAGAATGGCACAACGCGGAATGGCTTTTGACGATTGACACCGCCGGTTTGTCATCTTCATAATCAACGGCAGTACATCAGTCATTTGAGCTGGTGCTTCACTACGGTACAACGACAGTGACCTACGGAATGTACAATAAGAGTAGAGGTATAAATACATGGCCCAAACCTAAACGTCATGAGTAAACATACCGAGCCAATACGCCTACACCACGTTAGCTGCCAAGCTAAACACAAGGTGGGTCACTTGGACACCAGCCTGGAAAGCGAGATGGACCAAAATCAACAGGTTTTGTAGTCAATGACTTCATTTCCTACCTCGAGTCTTGCACTGACCTACATCTGACAAACAAAGCCAAGCTCTTCTCGATAAGTGGTGACCGGGCAAATGGAGTAAATGCCGCAGCCAACGTAATTTATTCAGTACTAGCAATTGTTCTAAGGAGGTAGTCTGATTATCACTGCTTAGCGTTCGCCCATGCACATCATCGTCGAGGACACGCTGGTTGTATCCAGTCTCGGCAACACTAGGTAGGCAGTAGTGCTCAAACACTTGTACTGACCAAGTCAGACGGCCAAGTAAGACGGTCCTCAATGTAACCACAAAGTTGAAGACCAAGGTACCTCCATTCTAACGCCACACGTGTTGCAGGTTCAATAAGGTAGCTTTACCTTCGCATTACATGAACGAAAGCACTTACTTTAGGCATGTTTGTGTGCATGGCCCAAGGTCGACTAATTCCAGTTCCTTGTCGCCAACTTTAAAGTGCTTATCAAGTGGCTGGTGGTCCTGCAACAACACTCTGAACTCTGAATCTGCAAAGCGCATATCAAATGATGGGACCATTCTAGAGAGGTTATTGTGGGTTGGTCAGGTCACGCCAACATAGTTAAAAGGCAAGACAATATCGTCTGAATGATCAAGCTCAACCAGTGGTTCATTAAGCAACACCTCAACACTTGCTTGTGAGCCGCAAGGGAACACTCCATGATGGAGTCAGTGACAAAGTTGAACCCAAGTGACGAAATTGGGCAACTCTAAAGAACGCCACTTGTTGCCAGAAAGCTGTCTGCATTTTCCAGACTTAACGCGACATGTGGTGTCCGAGCACAGGAGTGTCTTGATCTTTATTCCCTGACTCCATAATGGTTTGAATCCAACGCCAAGGATAAGTTTCGAGGACTTCACTGTGACACCCAACTGGCCCGTGGGTCTTGCACCGAAACACTAAACTCTCTCTGCCCTTTCGAAGTGCTCCGACAACTAAAAGTACGACGCTCCAGCGTACACCAATACCCAAATGATGTGTAATCAAGCCTCGGATCACATCAGTAAGCCCACATCTGATTCCATTTTATTCACATTGGCGCAGGGAACCACTCTTGAACTCTCCGCCTAAATCACTCACGCTACATGAGGATCTCAGCCGCTTCAGATCAGCTGATGGATATAGAATCCACACAAATCTGCCAATGTACAGCGAATTACGTAAAGGAAATTCTCTAAAAAGCCACCCACTGATTTTTTCTCACTTCCGAGATGAACAACCTTCATTTCCATAGACAAAGCCAGTTTCTAGACTTATGAGAACCCGATGTAACCATTTAACAAGCGAACGGAGAAGGGCGATGTTACGGACATCCATGACCGATACGTCATGCCACACCCACAAACTACACGCGCCCAATCACATGACTGTAGTGTATCCGCTGATTGGTCTCTGTTTCTCATTGGTTCGTTTTGGTCCTATGTTTTCACTTGGCTGCGGTTAGGAGCAGAGTACAGATTCACACCTACCATCCGGCGTTGGTGCTTTTCCTACGACTAAA